CCAAAAAAAAAAAGAACATTTTAGCAAACTTTCAGTTAGAAACCAACAAACAGTAAATGACTAGAACAGCAAAAACAATTTCGAAAAAGAAAATCAAAGTTTGAGGCCAGCTCAGGAAAATAGTTCGTAAGAACCCCCAACTCCAAAAATAACCAGAGCAAAATGGACTGGAGGTTTGGCTCAAGCGGTAGAGCACCTGCTTTGCAAGTGTGAAGCCCTGAGTTCAAACCCCAGTCCCACCAAAAAATAAATAAGTCAAGTTGGAGGGCTCATACCTCCTGACTTAGAGAAACATTTGAGGCTAGAGTAAACAGTCAGCAGAGGATGTGGCACGGACTTAGACACCCAGGTTAATGGAGCAGAACAGAATCCAGAAACAGACCCTCTCACTAAAGCACTCATTAAAGGTGCACCTTCATCGGGAAACCATGTTGAATAGTGGACACCCATATGGAAGAAAAGCAAACCTCCCCAAGTACCTCGCATTCTTACACAGGAATAAACCACGGACCAGAACGTAAAAGCCAGGATTAGAAAGACACACAGACACACACTCAGTCTCACACACAGAGTCAGTGAATGTTGGAAGACATCGATTTCTCCAACAAAGCCATATAAAGCATCGCCATAAAATGAAGCTTAATAAATTGGTCTTCATCAAGATTTAAGACTCCTGTCTTTGAAAAACATCATTAAGATAAAAAAAAAAAGGCACTCTGGAGTAGGAGAAAATATTTGTAATACATGCATATGACAAAGACTTGTTTGCAAATTAGATAGGGAACTCTTAAAAGCTCATTTTAAAAAAATGGGCAAAAGATCTGAAGAGACACACTGCAATAAAAGTCACAAAGCGTGGGTTCAACCTGTGAAAAGAGCTTAACAGAACCAGCCACTGGGGAACACAGGTTGAAACTGCATGCAATGGGTTGATGCCATACCTTTAGGGTGGCTAAAACTTGAACCCAGGGACACAGAACACCCAGCACTAGGGAGGGCACCTGGAAGTCTTCTGTGGTGGGAGCCCAAAGTTGTTCAGCCCCTTGGGAGGACAGGATGCTGTCACAGACAGAAGTTCAAACACATGCGTTGTTTCACCAGCAATTCCACTCCTAGCTATTTTTACCCGTGAGAGACAGACACACGTCCACACAAAGGTCTGAGCATGGTGGCACAACTGTAACAGCCCGGAGTGGAAAGCAGTTCAAATGTCCATCACTGGTGTTGACCCACACCACAAAGAACAGTGTGATGAGGACAGACAAAGCAGTACCTCTAACCATGTGGACAACTCCCAGAACACGGAGAGATGGGATCTTGGGATCAAACGGTCCCACTCAGAGATTCCAAAAAAGGCAGGGTGGTGGATGCTTAGTGCCAGGGTGGGTGGGAGGACCCAGGAAACGTTTTGGGGGAATGGACTGTTCCTCTCTTGGAAATACACCAAACTCATCAACCTGTACACTTGAACTTGGTACTTATTATCTATAAATACTTTGATAAGCAAAAAGGAGAGTGACACAGAAGGCAAAATGCTGATCAATTCCTGCAGCACAACAGCGACTCCACTCCCAGGAAACTGCCCAACAGTGGGACTTCCCACGACGGACTCAGAGCGTGGTCACCTGGGGCAGGCGAAGGGGAAATGTGCAAAAGGGGCCTCCAGGCCCACAGGGGAATGAAGTGTGCTCTAGGGCGAGATTCAGATGGGCATATTTTACTGTAGGTAAACCGCATCTCAACGAAATTGGCTTAAGTAGAAGAAAACTCAGGGTGTACTCAAGCAGAACCCAAGGATGGGATGGCCATCAAGAAACCAGCACTGCTGAAGTAACCCCAGGGCAGTGCTTGGTGGTCTGGACATATGGACGGGCATCTCCTTTACCTGGTTCCAGCTGTGGGATGCTGACTGTTTAAAACAGAGGGAATCCCTCACCTCAGCAGCCGGCAGCACCTCCACCTGTGCTGGAGCTTCCCCTTGGGTCCCACCCTATCCAGGCCAGGGACAAAGGCACCCGTTCCCTGGGCCCCACCAGGGGTCAGGCTGGACTCTGACCATGTGGTCGTGTCCCCGCTCAGGTCAAGAGGTAGTAGGGTGATTTATGTATCGAACCACCTGCGTCCAGTCCCTCTTCTCCCTTCTCTGGGAACCCAAGCAACAGCTATTGGCAGGAGCACCTTCTAACAGGCACCTGTCCCACTGACCAGACAGGGGATCTGTTGGATGGGTGGGCACTACACCATGGTGAGAGGGAGAAGCTATGAGCAAGACTACTGCAGATGGAGCCCCGCTGGCCATGCTGGCTCTGTCTAAGCCTGAGGTGGTCCACAAAGACTGGACAGCTTGCCTATGGGATGGGACGATGTCTGAGTGACCACAAGGTCTTGCTAAAAGAGACAGGTCTGAGGCAAGCACCTGCTGTTGCTTCCCTCTCTGATACCAGGGCCACTGCAGGGTCTTTCCAGGTGGGCAGAGCCAGGAATGTTGTGACCTGTGTGCTGGGACCACTCCCAAATGTGATCTGCCAGTGTCCAGGCATGTGGACGAGGGGCAGCTGAGAGGGATCCTGGCCAGTCTCCACCCGTGGGGACTAAGATGGTTGAGTCTCACTGAGGCAGGTTCTGAACTGGTCAGCTTACCATCCCTGATAAGGGGCTTCTTGGGGGCACTGCAAACTGGAAACAACTGAAAGTCCTTTGACAGGAACTGGATAAACCAGAGGTGGTAGCTCCATTTGATGGACCATGACCATGACCATGACGCAGGGGGCAGAGGTAGACACAGACTGCCTGAGCGCTGCAGGGCAGGGGTGGAAGGTACTGCTCTAATGGCTCTTGGTGAGTGGAGTGGAGGCGGCACTGCTGCTCCGTCATTCACACATGGACTGAAGACCTCTGAGGTCACGCCAACCAACCCCTCACCTGAAGTGGGAAACTGAGGCCAGACGGGGGAAGATACTCAATGGAGAGGTCCCGAGAACACTTTAGATTCTACCAGCCAGAGATGGGCATCCTGCTCAACTCTCAAAGACATCCAGGCAAGGGACGGTATGCTGCTCCAGTGTCCAGAGTAGATGGGAGTGAGGCTGTCCCCAGATGAGGCCAAGACCAGTGCACACAGGGAGCCCAAGGTAGGACCCAGCATCCAAGGGGCAGCTCCATGTTAGTTAGAGGCCAGGCCCTGCCTCTGCCTGCTCACCTCATGGCCCCCTTCCCCCAGCACACCCAGTGACATCACTGCCAATAACCTAGATTTTTAACCAAGAAACCACACACCCCTTTTCTCTGCCCCACTTATGGACTTGCCGAAGAGCAAAACTACAAGAAAACACAGACTGTTGCTCCATGGGCCAATCAGGGCCCTACAGCTCCTCAGCATCCCAGTACACCCCCACCTCCACTACCCCTGAAAGTGGACAGGGCTGGGCAGGGTTAGTGGAGGTCCTTTGTGTCACCTGAGGCATGGGCCAGCTGTAGAATGGCCTTGACAGGGCCCCCTCCCTCAGCCCCTGCAGCTCTGTGTCCTGTCTTGGCTAGAAGAGCTGGAGAGGTGGCCTGGCCATCACCAAGGATGGCTGGGATCAGCTTGGCCTCCTGACCCCACTCTGCTGTGCTGGTTCTGCAAAGCCTTTTTCATGCCCACTGTCCCACTGGCTCCTGGGAAAACCTGATGAGGCAGGTGCTGCCCCTGTCCAGGGCAGATGAGAACTCTGGCTGACCCAGCAGCAAGGGCAGGCACACTGCACAAGCTATCAGGCACACCCTGCCCCCTTCCTACCATCTCAACAGCCCTGGTCAAGGTCACACTGGTGAGGGGAGGGACCATACCAGAGATGATCCTGGCTGTGAACCCCCTGAGCATTCCCTGCTCTCAGACCCGACACCCATTCTGCCTGGCGCATCTGCAATGGCTGAAGATCTCTGAGGTCACTATGGCCAACCCCTCATTTGAAGAGGAAAACTAACACTTTAGATTCTACTAGCTCAGACATGGTCCAGCCACCAGCATGGGTGGAGTCTTTGGGGCCTGCAGCTGGGATATGCCCTGGGAATGGAGCCTGTTGACAGCATCCCACCCTGCAGAAGCCCCAAGCCAACAGTCCCTGGGAGGAAAGATCTCAGGTCCTCCCCAACCTCCTGCGTGGCACCTGGCAGCTTTCCTGGAGGCTGAGGCCAAGCTAGGTACATGAGCACAAGAGGCCTGCTCATCACAGCCAATGTGGTGGCCATCAAAGTTCTTGATATCAGGAAAAAAAACCAACCCTGACCCCTATCGCAAGTAGGAAAAAGAAGCCATCCAGTCCAGATATAGGTGGCTCAGGGCTACGATTCTAGAGAATTTGCGCAAGGCAGCAACATTCATTTAAAACCAGGGATGAAGTCCCCTGCCATCCAATTTGCAGCCGTGGATGTCCCCAGAACCACCCAAGATGGGTGGTACTCCTGGCCTCCACTAATGTACTCAGGAGGAGCATGAGAACATGTGAGGGACGGGGAGGAGTCCCACACTGCTCCTCAGGCCGGAGGGCCCGCTGCAGGCACCATGTCCTTGGGTCCAGGTCACTGCACATGGACCTGCATAAAGAACAGCGTGGGTGGGTAACCCAGACATACAGCAGGTTTGCGGGGCACACCCGATCCTGGACCCTCTGCCTAGTGAACCGCAAGCAGCCTCAGGGTATCCCGCAGTCCATGACACCCTGCAACTCACATTAGAACATCTCGGGTTTATCAGTCCCAACGGGTGGGTAGACCTTCTTCTCAAGAGAGCTTGGGGACACTGAGCTCACACTATCTGGCCTATTCACTGATGCTGGGACACCCCCCCCCCTGTACTAGGCCCAGGAGGCAGACAAACAGACAAGGGCAGTAGATCTCAGCTTCATGAGTCAGAGAGAGCTAAAACCCCCACAGGGTAGGGAGGCCAGACATGTGGGACCCCACACACAGGGTAACAGGAATCTGAGACCTTGAGAGGGCAATGATTGGCCTGTGAGCCCTCAAGGGATCCCTGGGCCACTGAGACCCTCAGTTTCCTCATCTGTCCAGTGCCAGGCAGGATTCTTGATGAAAGGCTCCTGCCAGCCTGCTCCCAGGGTCTCAGTTCCCGCCACTTCCTCCAGCCTGCACACCTCCCTGCAGCACAGCGGCCTCTCCAGCCAGACTGTGAGTGCCACTTGGGCCCACCACACTCTACGGCCTCTGTGGGCTAGATGCAAGGGTGGCCCAGGGCTGGGCCCCAGCCATGAGTTACCTGCATAGCTGCCGGTCGCCTTGATGTACATCTGGCCATACTGCTCCTCTACCATGGTGTCATAGGCTTCGTCATCCTCCTCATCCTCCTCGTTATGGTAGGAGGTGGGGCTGTCGGTGGTGGGCAGGCTGCTGGCCCCAGGACTGGTCCGCTCCCCCTGGGGGTAGGGCACCTGCTGGATGCTGGGGATGAGGGTGGCCAGGCTGGGGACCCCGTAGTAGGAGACCCGGGGTAGTTTGAGAGGGGCGGCACCGGGAGCGGTCCCCACTGCCACCGCCACGCCATCTCGGGGACCTGTCTCCAGCGGACGTTTAGGAGCCAGGCCTGGGCCAGCAGCGGGCGGCAACTCCATGGCTTCATGCTTTACACGGGTCAGCAGAGGGATGGGCACGGAAGGGGATGCAACGTAGGTGGCGGCAGTGGCGGTGGCAGCCGGCTGCAGCTGGTTGCAGGGACTCTGGGGCTCGGAGCTGGTGTCCTCGATCATGGCGGTCTGTGAGTCGCAGTGGGGCGAGCTCACCTTGAACATGAGGTCTGTGCCACGCTCCACAATATTCTGGATCTGCAGGAAGCCGGCCGTATACATGACCACGAGCTGTTCGCTGGCCGCCATGGTGAGCTTGCCCGTGTAGCAGAAGGACAGGATCTGCTGGAAGCAAGCAGGCGGCACCGTGCCGGGCAGCTCGAACGCGCTCTTGCTGTTGCCACTGAACAAGTCGCGGAAGTAGAGGCTGCTGGCGGCCAGGACGGCCCTGTGGGCCTTGAAGGCCTGGCCCTTGACCACAATGGACACATCACAGTAGAGGCCCAGCAGGCGCTGCTCATTGAGGCAGCCAAGCACGGTGTTCCCAAAGTTGGGGATCTCGATGTGCAGCATCTGAGACATGGTGGGCGGTGTGGCAGGCAGGCCTCAGTCTCAGCGCGGGGTGGCCCGGGTGGGGCACATCTGTGGGGGGGGGGACAGTGTGATCAGCTACTTACTGGACAATGCTACTGTCCTGTGGCCTGTCTCCATCCCCCAGTACCCACAAAAGGCAAAGAAAGAATTTATGCCAACCTCTGCCCAGAGGACAACCCCAGAGAAGGACTCCGGGGTCTCAGAGCCAGGACCCTGGCTGAGAGGAGGGTGCGAACCCCAAGCCCCTGTCCCTGCTGGGAACTGCTCTCTAGAGACCCTCAGGGTGGGGCTTCAGTCACCCACATCTACAGAGGGCACAGGCAGAGCCAAACCCCAGGAGACAAGAGATCAGACAAGTCACCTGGGTGGGCTGGGAGGGGAGGAAGAGGGCGATGCTGGGGGAAGTCGGAGGCAACAACTCCTCTCCAGGAAAAGGGAAAAGTTCTCTGGGCTGCCAAGAAGCCCCTGGCTCCACTGTCTCCTGGGGGAGGGCCCAATCCCAGAGCTCAGAGGTCTTTTGGAGGTGTTTACTTTCAGGTTTGTTTTTCGGCTTTTCCCTCTCAGCAGCTGTCCCAGTCCTGTGCCCCTACCTAGTCTTGAGCTTCCCCAGGCAGACTGGGAGGGACCCCAGGGTTGGTGGACTAAGTCTCGAGAACTTGGCCAGTTCCTTCCTCCGCTCCTCCCCCGGTGGAGAGGGACCTCTCTCTTGAGTAGAGGCACTCTAAGGTGCTCTGTCCTCCCGGGGTGACTCCAGCCTCCCCGGCAGTGGCAGACCCCCACCCAGGTCCCAGGCGCCCTCAGGGACTCTCTCTCAGCAGAAGCAGGAGTTGGAGCTTGTCGCAGCTCTGGGCAGGGATGCCCTCCCTCCAGCCCCTGCTTCCAATGGGCCAATCCCTGTGGCTCGGACTCATCTCAGGTAACTAGAGGGGTCTAGGGAGGACGCCCAGTGGCTGGGGCTGAGGGCGGGCAGCACTGTTTATCAGTACCGACTCTGTTGAGGGGGGCGGGGGCCAGCCAGAGAAGAAGGCACCAGCCCAACTCTGCAGGGCCGCACAAAGGGCCGCTGTGTCCCGCCACAGGAAAGTGCAGGCGGCCGCAGAGGCGCGGGTGGCCAGGGGGAGGAGGGCGGAGCCACTCCCAGCCAGGAGTTGGGCAGGTGGGCGCAGCCCGGGGGAGGCCCGCAGTGCCTTGGCTGCAGAGAAGTTGCCGGCCTGGCCCGCGGACACGGGACACCGGCGGCAGGGAAGACCTACCTTCAGCGCTGCGGCCGGCGGCCGACACTGCCCGCTCAGCCTGGCAGGGCAGGTTCCCCGCACACACGCCCGCCCGCCAGCTGCTCCGGGAATGCAGCAAACGGAGCCGGAGCCCTGGGGTGGGGAGCGCTGGAGGAGCTTGGGGGTGGGGGGGGTGGGCAGAGAGCTGGGCGCTGGGCTCCGCGGCCGCAGCTCAGCTGCACCCAGGCCAGCTCTCCCGGGCAGCGCGCAGCATCTCAATGAAGCGGCCGGATGCAGACGAACATTCAGGCAGCTCTCAGGAATGAATAGCCGCCTTTGATTTGGAAACTGAAGTAAATGCCAGCTCCCAGCCCCAGCTTTAAAAACAGTGGCGCGTTGGTGCCAGAGGAATGCACGGCTCCGGGTGTTGGTGCAAGACAGACTTTTGATGACTCACTGCAATGCAAACAAAGATGGCAGAAATACTGTACTGTACGTGGTGCCACGGCAACTGAGACAGCCTGGAAATTTATAGTGCAGTTTTGCATATGAATTACCCAGTACACTGCCTGCCTGCCATCCTGCACAGACCCAGTGTCAAAGCATTTAAACTATTCCAAACAGTCTGCAGAGTCACTGGCTTAACTCTTCCAGGATACGGGAGGCTGAAGAAGGGGCCCAAGCCGAGGGCAAAGAGGTCTGGATAGATGGACGGGGGACAGCAGGGCGAGGAAGGGGAACAGGCACAGCCGGGGATGGCAAGAGGGGAACTAGGAAGAGGTGCAGACAGGAAGGGCCAGAACCCTGCCTGCCTCCTTCCTACTCTGTGGAGCCTCAGTCATGTTCCCTGCTGGCCACGGGTCCCAAAGCAGCAGGCCCAGCTGGTCCAGCACCAGGACTTTCCCCATCCCACTCTTCCTATCCCTGCCAGATGTTTAAGAAAAGAGCAATTTTGTGGCCTGGCAGCCCTCCCAGCAAAGACATGAGCTCTACCTGCTCCTTGGTCTCTGTGCAGACCACTTCTCAATAATGAAGCACAGACATGCTGTCTGTCTGAGGAGGGTTCTCAGTGTTGCACCTGACCCTGAAAGGGACCCTTTTTCTAGGACATGCACTGCTTATGTAAAGGGTGAGCACCTTTAGCGAGCTCACACTACCTGCTAAACTGTGACAGCCCTGGGGCAGAACACTAAAAATCTGCCACCAACTGTGGCCCCAGAAAGAACATATTCCATCTTCAAGAAGGGACAGGGTTGAGGCTAGAGCGGCAAAGTCTACTCCACTGTAGCTGATCATGACCACCACTGCCCTCCAGGTCACACAGGATGGTGGGGAGGAGGAGGCCTGGCAGGAGATAGTGGCCCTACCCGGTCCCTTACTCTCAGTGCCCCCTCAGAGGCATCCAGAGACAAAGAAAATGCCACCTGGGGTCTCCCTATTTATACACTGTGGTCTCTGCTTTTGAATGACAGACAAAAAGCTGCTGAACAGGGGCAGAAGGAAATCCAGGTGTGCGAGCCACCCAGCAGGCCTTGCACACAAGGCCCTGGAAGGCTTTGTGCCCCATCCTCTTTGCCTCCTACCCTCAGGATTGTCATAATATTGTCATGCTAACCCTCAGGATGACCATGGGGTGGGGAGTGGGGAATGGGTGTAACAGAGATAATCACGCTCAGCTCCACTGAAGAGCTGGCCTCTGTGGAACAGGGAGCTAGGCTAGGAGACACAGGGTCACCTTTCCAGCCACATCTTTCCTGGAACAGACCCTCTACCCTCACCACCCTGCTTAGTTGCCACTTCCTCTCAGAGGTCCACCAGGTATCCCTCAGAAGCTTGACAAGACTTTGTGTGCCCAGGGCCTGGTGGGCAACTGACTGCCAGGCCTGGCTGGAGAGGGGCCGTGCTGCCCAGAGACACATGGCCTGGAGGGAGGGACTGCCTCCCCTCACAGACTTACAGTGCCCACTGCTAGGAGCCTCCCAGAGAGCTTCTGGCATCTGCTGCAGATGACCTCAGCTCAAGGACAGTAAGACAGGACCACCTCACCAGGCAGGGTTTCTCTTGCCATTGTGAGGGTGGGGGATGATCTGTCTGGCCAGGGTAGGTGAAGGCCAGCAAATGTGCACTTTGCATGGGCCCCAGGGGTGTCCCAACTGCCTAGGGCTAGGTTGGCCAGCAATAAGGTTCAAGAAAGCAGAGGACAGGGTAAGGTTCCTGTGCCTGTCCTTCCAACAGAGCAGGCACTGGCCTGTTGGCCAGGTTGAAATCCTAGTCCTGCCCACATCAGCAACTGACTGTAAACCAGAGGTCAGGGTGGCCCCAGTATAGTTCCTGAGGACAGAATACAAAGGATCTGTGAAGCCCTCAGCCTGAGCCAGCCACAGGCAAGGCTGGCAATGTCTATATCTTGCTGTGACCTGGGAAGGTGGGCATTTGCAACCATACCTCAAGGGCTGGCGCCCAGGGCCCAGGGCAAAACCATCTCAACCAGAGAAGGGGCTATTATTTCCCCAGAAAGTGATGAGGCCGACTCAGTCCCTGGAGACCGAGGACAACTGGTGCTTTTGCAACCTTGTCCTCAGGCCACCTGTGCTGGCACAGCTGGGGCCTGCACCCAGCCTGCAAGAACTGGACAGGGGCTGGTTTTAGGTTGCTTTCTTAGAAGCCTCAGCTGGGACAAGAACAAAGCCGAACTTTAGGAGAGAAGAATAAAGTAAAGGCTTAGCTTTCGCCCCCAAGGCTGGGAAAGCAGGACAGGCCAGGCTGACCCTCGAGCTGAGGCCTGGCAGAGCCGGCCTCCAGCCTAAGTGGGCCGTGAGCAGCAGCAGGGCTGTCTATGCAGGGGAAGGGACTGAGAACCTGGCTCCCAGAACACCAGGGCCTCCTTACCACTCCTGGCACAGTGGCGTTCAGCCTCTCTCAGAGACATCCTTGCTTTTCTGTGATTTATCCCCTATCTCTTTGCTTCCCAAGCAAGGCTATCTGTTCTGTTTGCCCTATAGGGTGAGAATGTCCATTTGCTTCTGAAAGTTTCTAAACAGTCAGGAGATCTCTAGCTTTGTTTACCCCAGTCATCCTCAAAGCCACTGCACTGGGGGAACTCTATACCAATGGACTTCAGAATGGAACGCATTTTGGGAAATCCATGAAAACAATCCAGAGCCCAAGTCCAGGTCCCACTACTGTGCCAGCCTGGGATCCCCTGGCCCCATGCAGACACTCAGGATAAGGAAATATGGATGGAGGGAGGCTAGGATCCCAGCTACCCCTAAAGGCAGCATAACCCCCAGGTGGCTGAGAGAAACAACCTACTGAGGAAGGGGACAGACGGGGATGAGATAGGGATGGACCACACCCGCCTGTGCACAGAGGCAGAAGGACACAAGTTCTCTGTCAGCCATGAAGGACTTCAGGCACACCTAAACCCAACACACCAAGAGGTACAGGTGTTGTGCAGCAGGTACCAGCCTACCCAAGGGCATCCCAGAGGAGAGGGACAGGGATGGGCTGGTCATAGGAAGGGGTGACACTTCCCAGGCCCCCAGCCGGCCTTGGCTCCATGGCCTGAGAGTGCTGTCCAGAGTCTGGTGGAACTTGTCCCCACCCTAACCTGGGCTTCCACCACACTTGCTAAATAAAGACACAGCAACTGGAAGGATGGTGCTTAGCATCTACAGGATCACTACCAGCGAGGGAAAGAGAAGAGATTAAATTAAGTAAAATTATTTTACAGGATTTAATTTTACCAATCTAATAAGAGGTTCTGGGCCTCAGCAAATGCACAGCCACTATCCACAGCTGTGGAGGGAGGGGAGGAAGGCAATGCAACACAGACAGCCTGTGGAAGAGGGAGCCCCTCCCCAGGTAGGGCCATCCTGAAAGCAGCCACTGTCAGGCAGCTCTGAGCACTGCCACCTCCAGCGAACACAGCCTGGAAATCAGTAAGAACGCGTTATCAAGGGTCAGCAATGGAGCCTGGTAGGTGAGAGGAAGCACTGTCCCCAGGTCAGTAGATAGAAACTGCAGGCAAACCTACTCCACGAGCTGGCGGGCACACACAGGACTGGGTGGGGTTCCAGGAATAGGGCCTGTCCAGGGCTCGCTGGGGACATTGCCTGCAGACCAAGTGTTTTCAATCACAGCAAAGGCTGGGGATGGCATAGGGAGTCTGCTTGTGTTCCCATCCCCTCTCAACAAACCAAGTTCTGCCCCTACCAGGGGTGATGGGGGCAAGTAGGGCCCCAAGTTAGCCCCTTCTAGGGTCCAGGCTGCTGGTTTGGGTGTGCCCAGGTCCCTGAAGAGCTGGGCGAGGCACCAGGCTTTGCCCTGAGGTTTGCATTAAATTTTTAAGACACCATCAGGCAGAGCTGGGCCGCCCAGGCCTCACTGCTAATGGACACACCAAGCCACCCACAAGGACCCAGGCGAGCAGAAGCAGGTGCTGCAGGGCAGGGTCTCAACTGCCAAGACCTTCTTACCACAGTCCCCAGACAACCCACCAAGCAAATGTGCTGTAGGCTCACCCATTCCCCACCCCTGCAGGTGGAACAAGCGAGGCACAGAAAGGGCTCTCTGTGAGGCCTCAGGGCCAGGAGACACTGGGCCAGGACCTGAGCCCCACACACCTGGTCAGCACACTCCCCAGCTTCCTACAGTCAACACCCTGCATCAAATGGCAAGAACAGTAAGTGAGGACCTGGGGTGATGGGCCCAGGACTGCCCAAGGTCCCTGTGTCCCTATTGCAGAGAGGAGAGCCCTCCTCAGCCTCTGTAACTGGAGGAGGGAAGGAGGCACAGAGGCCTCCCCAGCTTCAGGGTCAGGGTGAGACCACCAGCCCAGTGTGGGAGGCAGGGAGGAGCTGGACTGCTGACACAAGGCCACCCAGGCAAGGCTCTCATTCCACAGGCCCTGGACAGCCTCCACCCCAGACCACAGGCCTGGACCAGCATCAACATAAAAGCCAGTTTTAACTGCACCAACAAATGTTTGCCTGGAAGCCCTTTTTTTTTTTTTTCCCAGACGAGAGAAAGGCACCGTGCCAGAACCCGCAAATTCAAAATTTTGCACATCAGTCTTTCCCCCTAGCTGCCCCACAATGGTCCTCAGGAAAATGAGACAAAACTGGCCAGAGGGTGGCATAAGCATGTATGCTGTGACCACCCAGAGCCCAGACTACAGGGAGGCCACCAATAGCCAGGCCCCACCAGCCCGCAGGACCACAGGGGCAGGGTGAGCAGGATATTCTGCAGAGACAACAGCGGTTCTCCAGGTCTCCACTCCAAAGGCACCAGGCTTGGGTGTCACTTTACAGAGCGTCCAGTCAAGGGATCTGTGTGACTCAGCCGAAGCTGCCACCCATGGGAAACAATGCAAGCAGG